AAAAAAAAAAACCAGAAATGATAAATAAGAAAGCTAATATAAATAAAAACTATAAATATATGAATGTTGTCAGTTATAGGCTTAATTATATCTCCTCAAATTTCATATATTGAAGCCCTAATTCCTACTACCTTAGAATGTGGATGTTTTTCGAAATAGAGCATTTATATAAATGATTAATTCAAAATGAGGCTAAGATAGATTCTGATCTGATCTGACTAGTGTCCTTATAAGAGCAGGAAATTTGGACACACAGAGAGAGATACTAGAGATACCAGGGGAATTGAGTTACTATTAATTGGAAGCTGATTATGGTATGTTAAGAAGTCTATGGTAATACCAACAGCAATCACTAGGGAAACAAATCTACAATATATTTAATATATCATTAAAAAGTTAAAATACTACATTAGAAAATATTCACTAATGTAAAAGAAAGAATTTATGGCACAATGGAGTAAAAAAGAAAGATAAAATATACAGAAAACCAAATGAAAACTGGCAAAAGTAAATCCACTACATCAATAATAGCAAAAAATGTGAATGGATTAAGCAACACAAACACATGACTTTTAAAAGTTTGCATTTTCATCAACATGGATGAATCTGGAGAATGTTAGGGTAAATGTAATAAGCCAGTAGGAGAATCACAAATACTGCATGATTTCACATATATGAAGTATATATAATAGTTAAACTCAGAAAAGCAGATATATCATAGTAGTTGCTGGGGGCTGGGGGTTTAGGGAAATGGGAAAGCATTGTTGAATGGGTATAAAGGTTCAGTTATATTAGAGGAACTAGGTTTTAAAATCTGCTATTACAACATGGTTCCTATAGTTAACAATATGATATTGTAACCTCAAAATTTGTTAGAAAGATAGATATCATATTAAGTGTTTTTACTATACAAAAAGCAAGGAAGCAAACAAACCTAAGAGTTAAGAGGAAATTTTGGGACTTATTGGTTATCTTTACTATTTTGACTGTGGTGACAGTGTCATGGGTATGTGTCACTCATCACTCATCAAATTGTACACATGAAATATGTGAAATTTTTTTGTATATGAATCATAATTTAATAAATGTAGTTAAATAAACAAACAAAACCCCAACAACCAAAAATGTATGCTGGCTATAGGAGACATACTTGGATTCAAGATACAAATAAATCAAAAATAGTAAGGTTAGAAAAAATATATATATAGCACATAGTAATTATAAAAATGCTGGAGTGCTTATACTAATATAAAACATAACATTTTTTTAAAAATGTAACTATATATGAAGTAAGACCATTTGTAATATCTATGACGCTAAAACAATTATAAATATATACATACCTAACTACAGAATAACAAAATACAGAAAGCAAAAACTGGCATATATGGAAAAATAGTCAATAATAATATATATTTAAATATCTCACTTTCGATAATGAAGGAAATATTTAGGCAGAAGGATTAAAAGGAAATATAGAGCTTAGAAAATACTATAAACCAACCAACCAGAATGAACAGATACTTGTAGAGTATCCCTCAAAAACAGTAGAAAATGGGGGTAGGGTTGTGGCTCAGTGGTAGAGTGCTTGCCTAGCATGTGTGAAGCCTGGGTTCGATTCTTAGCACTGCATATAAATAAATGAATAAAGTGAAGGTCCATCAACAACTAAAGATATATATATATATATATA